CTACATCCAGCGACACACTCACATCCAAAGATAGCATTTTCTGATAATCGATTATTATTAGAAAAGAACTATTATCTTTTGGAGAATTTAAATATTGGATATTTTGTGATTAGTATAACGAAACCAAAGAAGATATGTGAGTTCCACATTGCAACCCCAAAGGGACGGCGCCAACAAGCTTTTTTAAAAGATTACACTGAATTGAATTAACAGCCACATTGTTGCAGAATTATTTATATGTTGTTTCAATATTTAATGAGTCTCTGTCAGTTGCTTCAGCACTTCTTGATTGGTCGCTTAGTAATATTTAACTATTAGTGTGACTAATCGTTTCGTCATCGTATGTTGACCCTTGTGTGTTTTTATTGCTCTGTTTATGTCTAGTACAGCTCTAACGAGTTTACTAATAAAGTCGAACAGGTGCACCCTACATATCAACTTGAAAAACAAAGAAATCTCTACAATGTAATATAGTTGTAACATGTTTCACATTTTCAAATGTGAAACTACAAATGTTGATTCAAATGACATGACGAAAAATACATAGAATTATTGTTTTCAAACCATTATCGACCATATTAAAACTCGAATACAGAGAAGAGTGACATAGATGATGAAAGTAGATAATGTGAGCTGTCGAACGGTATACATATGATTGGATTAGGTTTTGTATTGGTTTTACATAATTTTAAACTTCGATATCGAAGCATCTCATTATAAAGCTGTAAAATCCATGCTTTTTTCAACTAAAGCTTCTCCGACGGTTCGCAGCAGAATTCGATAAAATATAAACCACTGACTAGAGCAAGTGTTCCTCTACAAATCTACATATATCCTATTGTGTAGTCAAATCATTATAGTCGTGTTTGATCAATTGAATGATTTTTGTCTAACTATTGTTAAGTTATAATTATTGCTACATTTGGAACTGAAAGAGTAGTTGAATTAAAGGTTAGAGTATTCCATTCAATAGTGGGGAACAGAATAATCGTTTCATTCAAAGAAAACCATGACTGTTGATACGATTGAAGATGGTTTTTTGTTGTATTAGAAACTTACAACGGATTAGTCGGCTTATTCGAGTTCGAATATAATTGACAAATTTGAAAAACTGACTTTCATGTCAGAATAGCAAAAAGCAAAGAAAAGGTTTATTTAAATTTTAAATTTTAAATTCATCAATTTGAAGGCACACTCAGGTTAAAATAGCGGGGAAAAGCGTTTGGGTACGGGTGAACTGGACATTCACAATCAGAGGAACACTCACAACCACACTCATACTCTCAAACTATGCTTTGCTTTCATAAGCACAACACACCAAGAAGGAATACTACTGATTTTATTTACACGGTGAAAGTGTTATTACTAAAAGTAAATGAGAAAAAAAAGCTGTCAATGATCATGGAGTAACTTCATGCTGATAATTGCCGTATGATGGTCTTGTGCATGTGGAAATACCAAAGTTCCTGTTGAATCCCGATATTGATTGACATGTACTACTTGATTGAACTCATACTTAAAAACTTGTTCGGCTAGTTGTTGGGTCACACGGCTCGCATTAGCTGTGACAACTGCTTGAAATTGTTTGGTTGCTGCAATACGCAAGACGTGACGTTCCAGAAGATACATGATTGTTACTCGCTGTTCAGGTTTAACATTCGGATTGACAGCTGTTAGGAAACCGTGCATAATCGATTCGGGTAGAAGTTGTCGATATCGTAAGTCTTCAATGAGTTTATTTCTTTCTGTTTCAAATACGGCAAAGAGTGGTGAAAGTAATGGCATGTCGGGCATGTCAAAATGAGGCTGATCGGCTAAATCTTTCGACAGAGAAATGCCGACGAGTTGTCCATCGTTGACATAAATGCCGAATGAAAGACCAGCTGTGACAAAGTATGACCAGAATGCATCAAGAAGGGCAAGCCATTCAAGTTTACACTGTTGTTTGAGATCAGCTTGATGGTGATGCACAAGTGCATCGATTTCGTTCAATTCCACAAAAGATTCAATGAGAATGCGTTGAGCTTCAAATTTATCAACACTTTCCAGTGGCACGAATTTGTAACGACCTTCACATTGAGAAAACGGATCGTAATGTTTCTGTTGTCCAATGACTGCTCGATTATTTAAAATATCTTTCAACGAAGTCGCATACATCAGACGTTCGACATTGAGATCTTGGAATCCAATACGATGTAACTTTGCTATCAGTGTCAAAGCAGTCAACGATGAGCCGCCGGCTGCTAAAAAATTTCGATCAACGTGAGTTCGAGGAATGCCAATGTCAGCCAATGCCGAATAGAAGGCTTGTTTGATATTCGATTCTTCTTTTACTTCTTGTTTGAGTGGCATCGATGTGTACTGAGCATCGACAAGTTTGATCAACTGTTGTCGATCGATTTTACCAGAGACGAGTAATGGCAAATGAGGAATCTTCACGAATCGTGTGGGAATCGCATACGAAGGAAGATATTTCGACAAAAATTCATGATTTAAACTGAAAGGATTTTCTTCTGCTTCTAAAAAGACAATAATATGACCATATGTGGACGAATGAACAGCCACTGGTTGTCGACATTGACAATACTGTTTGAGTTTGAGTTCTATTTCGCTAAGATCGACTCGATTACCAGCAATTTTGATCTAGTAGAAAAGAGTAACGTCTCAGCTTTAAAAAAAAAAGATTTTCTTACTTGAGTGTCATTTCGACCGTAGAGAATAATTCGCCCATTCCAAATTCGACCGAGATCACCAGTGCGAAATCGAAATTTTCCATCGTTGTCACGAATGAATTTGTTGGATAGTAGGATATTTGATGGATCAACATTATGATAACCATTGGCGACACCTTCGCCTTTGACTACTAATTCGCCGACACCTCTTTCGTCCGGCTCGACAATTTCGACACGCATATTCTCGATTGGATATCCAATGCTTGTACGACCATCGAGAGAAAATCGTTCGTCTAAATGATCGGCCGATTCGAAAACTTCATATGTTACATCGGCCATGACTTCGGTTGAACCATAAAAGTTGAGTAAGTAACATTTAGGGGCAAAACGTCCTTTCAAAGTAAAAAATACTTTGATCAGATTAATCGACAAAGTTTCTCCACTGCAAACGATAAGCCGTAACGAGTCCAATTGTTTGTTATTGTTCTTCAAATAATCGAGTAAAACAGTGAGTAATGATGGAACCAAGACTATACGAGAGATAGATTCTGCAAACAAAACATCGATCAATCGATTGATATCAAGAAGTAAAGATTTAGGCAAAATGACAATCGGTACTCGACGTAACAATGGTGCGAAGATTTCAGCAATCGAATCGACGAACGAAATAGACGTTTTAAAACAGCATATATCATCTTTGGTAAAAGGAAAATGTGACCATTGCCAATGGAGTCGATTAAGTAACGCACGATGAGGTAGACGAACACCTTTGGGTTGACCTGTTGAGCCAGACGTGTACATCAGACAGAAGCTGTCTTCACTAGTGATTTCTCTCATTTCCTGATTATCGGAACTAGTGATATTCGTACAAAGTTGAGAGTAAGTAAGGGTTTTCGTAGTATCCACAAGTAACGGAACACGATCAACGATCAGCAACTGAGCTTGACTATCATTGAGAATGTATTGAATTCGTTCGAGTGGCAATGTGGGCTCAAGAGGAACATAGGGAATACCTCGAAGAACAATGCCGCATAAAGTGACTATGAGTTCCAATGAAGGTTGCATACAAACAGCAACAATATCATAAGATGAGAGTGATGTGGCCACGCGTAATGCACCGCTTGCTAAATCACTGAAACTGAGCTCACACTTGTCCGATCTGGCACAGATACTTTTTCCATCGTCCTCATCGTTCAAAACTGATGTTAGTAGATCGCGTAATGTTTTGTGCTTAGCAGAGAAATTGGTATGAGCACCTTCAAGAAATGATACTTCATGTGAAGTCATATTGGATACAACGCAGTCACCAAAGAAATTGGCTTTTTTGTTACCAAGAATAAAAGTGTTTGATTAGGCGTTGTAAGTTCACTGACTTCTTAAGATAGATCTTAAAATAAATAGAAAATTAAACTTTTTTTTTTATATATTGACAAACTTTGAGAAGCATATTTAATCGCGATAAAAAATATAATTAATCAGCTAGCGAAGGATGAGATTTTTCTGAGATCAATCACTCTATTCATACTATTTGCTCTTTCACGAACGAGAACTTCATATAATCTGCTTTATCATTTCTTTGGTAAATACTTATATTTTTTTTCAGAGTAATGTAAAATTCTGCTAAATTACAAATCATACTTTATTTATGACCGTATAATCCTCTTTATGATAGCTACGAGAAACGTTGATATAAAAACAATAAGCATGTTCGCGGAGAGATGTAAAATACGACTAAGTCGTAAACACAATAATACTTTAGTCATGACATTTTCTTTTCTGCATACCCTTATATGTATGCTCTTGTCTGTACGTTGCTTTCTGTATGTTTTTTATCAACTTCCTTCTCCGGAAGTCATCTTCTGTACGATATTTACTTTACATTCTTTTCCATATGTCCTTTTCTGTAAATCATTTTCTGCATGCCCTTTTCTGTGCGTCCTTGTCCATACTTCCTTTTTTGTGCATCTTTTTCTCTATGTTGTTTTCTCTATCGCATTTGTCGTACATCCTTTGCTCTATGTTGTTTTCTCTATCTTATTTGTCGTACATCCTTTTCTCTATGCTGTTTTCTCTATCTTCTTTGTCATGCATCCTTTTCTGTAAATTCTTTTTCACACATCCATTCCAAACAACAAAATCTATCACACATGTATAATTTGAATGTTGAATTCAATTATTCTAAAACTAAAAAATCTCTTATGTCACTGACATTTTATATATGTGCCGTGGCACAGAGATGCGTAGTCCTCCATCCTTCTTCCCCAATCAAGAAGAGCTGCGACACATATGCATCTCGGATGTGTGTGCGAATCATCGTTTGATTACTAACATCTACTCCCACACTCAATGATGGAAGCATTTGATCGAGATCAAAACGGGTGCATTCGATAAGTGTTATCGGAACGTATCTGGAACCAGCATTTGTTTTGCTGAAGTCAACTGTCGAATGAATCTTAATAGATTTTAGGAGATAAACCTGAGATTTAGGACTTTATTGGCTTGTTTGTAAGTGACTGAGTCTTTGAATCGAGATCTAAAAGTGTATATTTCTACGTGCAAAATTCATACGTTATTATTAACTATGGCAGTCGGCATAGTGGTGCAGGTCTTTTTATGCTTTAGATTTTTAAGAAGATGTTCGACAGTTTTCGGATAAATCAAAAGCAAATATATCGTCTTACTTAAACTATTCACCAGCAACCCTCCACCGTCTTCAAGACAGCACTATCGACAAAATGAAAACTACAAAATGACTGACTGAATCCACTTGCAGTAAGGAAATAAGCACCAATTTACGTTCTTCTGTTTTGCTTTTCTTTTTTCTTTTTGTTGCAAAAAAACTACCATCATACTTGAAGCTTTCGTTTGTTCTTACAGCAACATACGATCGAAAGTAAGAGTAAATATACCCATGTCGCCACTTTTTTAACAACTGCGTCGTAGTTTGATCGCAATCGAACATATGGGTAAACAGCTGAAAATAAAAGCAAGTTACTTTGCATTTTTAATGGACAAAACCAGATGAGAGAGAAATAATTGTTTCGACTCAATATTTTACGTTACTAAGTTCACTGCAAAATTGAATACATGCATTTAGAGTTTGAATGTAAGTAGATTAGGCGTGACTGTTTCAACTTGATCGATACCCACGCCTCATATTCTGTTTTGTGATGAGAACCTTTCTGCATTAGTAGAAGAAGGTCAAAGATGGAGAAGCCTTTCATTGAATACATAACGGAATTTCTCTTGATATGGTACTATTTCACAAAGATCTCTTCATGTGTTAGACATGCGAGTGTACACTGCGTCCACTAGATACTACGACCATGGGAAGGTTTTTTCCTTTAGAGAATCTCAAGAATTCTTTCAAAGTATGTTTCAAAAGGAGCACTAAAATGACTGCACGACATGTTTTCAATCAAGAAACATATTCTTTATTAGACTTGTTGCTCAAGATTATTTTAACTTAGAACTAACCCGTCATTATGATCATGAAAACAAAATATTCTCCATACTGAACTTAAATATCATTATGAGTGTGAGTGTGGATGGGCGGGTGTGGATCAAGCTAAAGCAGTCACACCTATTTCAACAACATTCAAACTCTAAATGAATGTATTCAGGTTTGTAGTGAATTTGGTAACGTAAAATATTGAGTCGAATTAATTATTTCTATCTCATCTAGTTTTGTCCATAAAAAATACAACGCAATTTGTTTTTTTTTCAGCTGCTTATGTTTACTCTTTCTTTCGATCATATGTTGCTGTAAGAACAGACGAAAGTTTCAAGTGTGATGGTATTATATTGCAACAACAAGAAAAAACAAGGCCAAGCAGAAGAAAATGAATTAGTGACTATTTTTCTACTTCAAGCGAATTCACTCAGTCATTTTGTAGTTTCCATTTTGTTGACAGTATCATCTTGAAGACAGTAACCATTGCCTGCGAAGATTTTAAGTGAGATGGTATATTTGTTTTTGATTTCTTTGACAACTGTCGAACATCTCCTTCACATTCTAAAGCATAAAATGACAGTGTAACACTATGTGAACTGCGTGGGTGTAGATTTGTGTTGTTCTAGTCTTCATGAACACCCACATTCATCCTCAATAACTAACACTAATACAAAAAAAGCTGACACAGTCTTTTGTACAAGTGCACAACATTACACTTAATGAGTTTTGTTTATATCATTAATGTTGCGCAGCAACTAATATTGCTAAAAATAATCATTCGACCATAAGCAACAAAAAAAAATCAGACGAAAAATATTTGTTAATATGTTATGCTAATTGGGTACAAGCCTTTATTTCCATTGCAATAAACATACTTGATATACATATAACAGTTTATGATTATATATTGCCATTAGCATTGGAAATTTATTTATGACTTCATTACACACTGATTGACAGTTCTCGGCATTTTTCTTCAAAGGGCATCCTACAAACACTAATCATTACGATTTTATCTATTGAGAGCAATAAACTGTAAAAAAAGTTCATCAATTTTTTTAGGCGAAAAATGACCTTCTGAACTTCTACTACATTCGACTTATTACTTCAAATAGAGTCTCAGACAAAATAGAAACTGGATACTATGGGATTCCTGAAGTGTTATAAAGTCTCAGAAAGTCAGTTGAGAGCTCATCAAGTTTTTCGAAGTCTTACGCGCTTTGAAAATCTTGATGTATGAAGACTTCAACTGTACCGTTTTCTTTCGGCATGGAAGAACAAATGCATTATAATCAAAGTAATATTTAAACGTCTTGAATCAAGTATAGCGATGTTTTTTCTTTTAAAGATGATTATTGGGACAGGTTCATTTCCATTGTCTCTTTCTGTTAAATCGAAAACAAGTGAGCAAAGAAGAATTAAAACAAAATGTAAACCTATCAATTGAAAGATAGTGAAACAGATTTAACATGCTGTAAAGAAATAGATGTTTCTTGTATATTTCATTCTACTCGATTTTTGAATGATTTACTTAGATTCCTTAGGTATATGTGGACTGAGATGCCAATGGATTTTAAATAAAATATTAATATGTGACAAAATGAATTTTTCTCAACATAAAAAGATCAGAAAAGAAGATACTAGAAAATTTACACCGGATGAAGAAGAAGAAAAAAAAATCAGTAAAATTTTCATATCTCAACAACAAAGGCCAGGAAAACCAAATTATTCTAGAATTTTCTCTCACTCATCAAATCATGATAAAAAATTCAAAACTATTATAAAAAAATTTTTATTTTCTTCAAATGCGAACAATTGAAACATCTGATCTTAACTCAATCATGAGTAGCAATCATTATAAAAATATCTCTTGTTTCGATATATT